GGAGTTGGGCGCTCACCACCGAGGACCTCGGCCTCCCCTTTGGTTGGCCGGATCTGGCTGTAGCAGGCGGCTGCGGGCCTTGGTTCACCTCGTTTGTAGATGTGGCGCAGGCGGCTCTCCTGGCGGCGGCCGCTAGCGAGGTTTAGGCTAGGCTCCTTCTCTCGTTGATGGTCTGATTAATCAATGAACTTCTATTGGGTGTTGGATTTTGGAGGTTTCTCTTTCCGATACCATGGCAAACCGGCCGGCCACTCGGGCTGCAGATTACGGTGGACAATGTTGAATCTTTGAGGGTTTGTCGACGGCTGCTCGTATAGGAAAAGTTGCGGGATGCAACCCGAAGGTTCCACTGTGCGTTCTGGCAGCTCTGCTCCGGCCAATTTGCCTTCGATACAAGGCCGAGCATGGCAGTGATGATTTTTTTTTTAGAAAAAGAGGATTATACCGGTCTCTGCATCTGGACGATGCATGCAGCCATTTTATTAATTATTCATAAAGATCTTACAAAGTAGTATATGAGTTAGTCTGAAGCCACCATCTTAGGAACAACTGTCGCTACTCCTATCCACCTGATGAGGGGGTGCCGATAGTCCGAGCCTAATACCAAACAGACATCGCACAAATGCTTAACATCTAAAGACAGAGGCTCCAACCAAGCCACATACCTGGTTTGAGGCACAAACTGGTCCGGCACACTCTCTGTGTCGTCGCCGCCATTATCCGCCAATCCATCTTCAGAACAGAAACTAATGCATGGACCTTGCCAGGCCTCTTCTGCCATTAACGCCACCATCACGCCAAACAGCATCCTCCTTCAGCGTGAGTCCATCTCTGCTGATCGGACTCCGAATCACCACAGCGCCACGCCGCCGAGATCCGCCGCCATCAATGTATAAGATGAAGTACCGCTCCACCAAAGAAGTCGTCCTCTGTTCCCTGAGCCCGTGTGTACCTCCATGAATGACGCCCCCAAGGGGGAAACGACACTAGAGCGTCGCCGTCATCCGATCACTGATCTAGGATTTCCCCCGGAGGTAGCAGAGACTGGCCTTGAACTTCTCCACAATGATGCCTTCAAGAAGGGAATGACGCAGACACCGCCGCGGAGGTAGCAGAGAGTAGTCAAAAGCAAGTTTTCACCCAGATCTGTTCGAAAAAACTCCATCTCTCGTGCATGGGCCGCCGCGTCCTGCGACGTCCCCGGGAGCGGGATCCCAAGATCCGCCGCCACCGGCGCCGCCACAAGGACCCAACACCCGACCGTCATCCCTGAAGGGGACGGCGCCGCCACCGTTCTCGAATCCGGCATCACCAATGCCTTCGGCCGCCCCCAATCACATCAGTGAAGGAAGATAGCCAACGCGAGCGCCCATCACGGCTTAGTACCGCCGGACGGCGCCCGAGCCCGACCACCTGAAGGAGAGCTGATCTGGGGTGGGAAACCCCAGATCCGCCGCCGCCAGCCCCCGCAGCGCCGCTGAGATCCCATCGGGCCGCCGCCCGAGCGAGCCAACTCCGCCTCCATGTTGTACGTCCAGGGACGCCGACGCATCTCAGCCAGAGGATCCCCTCGTGAAGAAAGGAGGAGGGCCCACCGTCCGCCATCCGCCGGGCGAGCTTCGCTCGCCGGCCTTCTTCGGCGGCGGCGGGGAAGAAGGGGAGGAGGGAGGTCGAGGCGGCGGCGGTTGGGGCGCCCGAGTCCCCTGGCAGTGATGATGATAAGGATCGTACACCTTCTTAGGCGCACCGCTTCCCAGAGCGACAAATTAAGGACGGTTGTCATCGACAGATCTCATGGCGAAACTGCCTAGTTGAGCTGATGATCGCTCACTGGCTAGTCGGATTGTTGCAAATGGGTGAGAGATTACAAGACTGTAAACACTTTCTCCTCAAATGTGATAGAATAATCCCAAATGCCTCTCAAGCCTACACAACTCATTCATGTAAGATTTAAAAGCTATTTATCTTAAATATATGGACCATATTTTAGCATCATCACTAGATATACTAGACAAAATAGATTTGGAATGTAACGATATCTATCCCTTTGGAGTCATTGTGAGGGAGCTTCAGTAGCTCACCAAATTGCATTTATAGGCTTGTGCGGCTCCATGCATCTCCAGTCAGCAGCTGCGCCACTTTTTTCTCTAGACAGGTTGGTTTGATATCTTTGCCTTTGATGGCAGGACCATTTAACATGTCTTTGATTTGATTGGACACATGTGAACCATAAAAACACATGATTACTATCCAGGCAGTGTACATGTATCATGTTGTTTTTAGTTGCTAGTAAAAAGGCTCGTGCGTTGCAACGGGAGAAAAAAAAATCATAATGTTCAATAACAATGACAACATTTTGTTCACATCTCATTGCATGATTTTGAAAATTTGTTCACAAATGCATGAAAATGTTTCTTTTTTTAATTTATTCACAAATCGAAGCAATGTGCACATTTTTGAAATAATATTGTGGTTGTCAAAAAACTTGGTAATTCAAATAATTATTCTGAATTTCAAGAAACATATTTAAGAAAACGTACTATAATATCTGAATCCACCCCGGCAATTAATTCTTCAAAATTTACGTCGGTATATAGTCAAAAACATTCAGAAGCATTACTGTTTAACTACATACCTTCGATCATTCATGAACATTTTTATGAATTTGGGAATATTTTTTAAAATCATGAACATTTTACTATTTACAAACATTTTTTAAAAATTGTGAACATTATTTTATATTGCGGATGGTTTTTAAGCATTTTATTTTGAATCGGCGAACCATTCTAGAATGGACGAACAATTTTCTTTTTTGAAATTCACGAACATTTTCTGAATCAGCAAACATTTTATGAATCAGTAAACTCTATTGTAATTCACAAACTATTTTGCTAATCCCGTTTTATAAGCTCACTGTTTATTTCCCAAGGCGACTGACGGCAATCATTTGAGAAAGACAAAAAAAAAGACGTATCATATACAGGCCTACGCTAGCTGAGAAGACTTTTAATTCCATTGAAAGCCGAGACGTGTCTGGTGGCCCATAAGGCCCAGCCGGACGACTGATATTTTGTTTATAAAAAAAAACTAAAACAACTTACGGGAGGGCATAGGAAAAGGGAGAAGATAGGATTCTTAAAAAAACTAAAAGAACCTCTTTTTTAGAAACAAAACTAAAACAACCTGAGAGGCTTGATCACAACGTACGTGCGAAGGCCCAAGTGGAGGAGCGCACGCCCAACTCAGCTGATATGAACCTTTTTTGATAGTTGATATGAAACTTTGCTCTACAAATTAGTACCACCTCATGTATTTCACGTAATGTGGGATCATATGTGGGACGAACCCAAAAATATCATCATGCTGTAATAGTAGGTATAGATATAGATATAGAGATGCCTCTTAACTAGTACTTCTTTCCTCTGAAAATACTTGTTCGTGAAATCGATTTCCGAAAGAAGGGAGGACTACTTGGGTGTGGTTGCGGACCAATGTTGTAGAGGATGACTGCGTTTGGAAAGAGTCAAGTAACCACAGCGAAGTATATATGCATGCATGTGCCCCAAGTACATGTTGGCATTCACAGCATTTCCATATGCGTACATCAGCACACTCGCTCACCAACTACAGGCCGCAGCTACAGTGAGCATCTAGTTGCGTTGCTCGCCGAAAATGAAATGAAAGGTTGTGTTTCCGTGAAATTGCTGGGTCGGTTTGACGCGTCAGTAACAAGAAAGTGTTTGAAACCTTTCCACTAATTTTGCTTGTGCTACCAACCGCGATGGTGGAAGCAGGTTAATACTATAACATGGGTCTGAAAAGAAACACTCTCACTGTATTTATATATGAGGATCGTTCTGGAAGAAGCAGACTCCTTTTTCTCCATTATTCTCGGTTGGGCATCCATCCAAAAGAGCGTTCCAATTTGGCAATTCGTCCGTCCACTTTTGTTTATACAGGCGAAGGGAGAAAATGACCGGCCGTGCCGCTTCCCTCCATACCCCGCTTTTTGGGAATGTCCCTATCCCACAGGGTCCGGACTCCGGACCATGATACCGTATGCCGTAGCAAGTTGACAGGTTTGAGACGTTCTAACCTAATTAACCCGGCAAGACCCATCTCATTGTCTCTTCTTCTCCACCATATATATGCGCACCAGCTCTGTCTCCGGTCCAACACACACAAGAGGAACTCAGCAGCTCCACGAGCAGAGGAGCCGACACCCAACCCAGCACCAACGCACGCCGGCCACACCAAGACCAGGAGAGAGAGAGACAAACATGCGTCCGCCACGGGATCTTCGACTCGCCGTGCTTCTCCTCTTCTCCGCAGCCGTCCTCCTCTTGGCCGTTCCGGCGGCCAGAGCCCAGCAGGAGACCGAGGAGGAGGAGGAGTTCAGCTACTCGCTGGACGCGGAGAATGGGCCGGCGCACTGGGGCGACATCAAGGAGGAGTGGTCCGCGTGCGGCAAGGGCAACATGCAGTCGCCCATCGACCTCGCCAGCCCGCGCGTCTCCCTCGTGCGCGGCCTCGGCTACCTCAACCACTCCTACGCCCCCGCCAACGCCACCATCGTCAACCGCGGCCACGACATCATGCTCAAGTTCGAGGGCGACGCCGGGAGCGTGTCGATCGGCGGCACGCCCTACTTCCTCCGGCAGCTGCACTGGCACTCGCCCACCGAGCACAGCGTCAATGGCCGCCGATACGACATGGAGCTGCACATGTTCCACGAGAGCGCCCAGGGCAAGGCCGCCGTCATCGGCGTCTTCTATGAGATCGGCGCCCACGACGCCTTCCTCCACAAGGTGCCTCTCTTTTCTCTCTTGCTTCTTTTCTTTAGTTAACCAACCAGGATATAAATTAAGCTTGATTAACTAAAGCCAACACGGCAACATGGGACTTAACTTAATTATAAGTAAGCTTAACTAACACCAACATGGCAACATGGGACTAATTCTAATCTTGTACTACGAACACAGCTGGAGCCATACCTGGAAATGATAGCCGATCGGAGGGACAGGGAGGAGAAGATGGGGATGATGGACCCGAGGGGCGCCAGGGGAAAGGCCAGTGTGTACTACCGCTACGTGGGCTCCCTCACCACCCCGCCCTGCTCCGAAGGTGTCATCTGGACCATCGTCAAGAGGGTACGTCCCGTTTCATTCATTCATTCATTCACCCTCACCATGCATCAAACACAACTACCAACCCCTGAACAAAAATTCAAACACAACTACCAACTACTCCAACTATCAGTAAAATATATTTCATTTCTGGACCATCACATGACACACTACTTGCAACTGTAAAATAAAATAATTCGCTTCTGGAACTTAGCAGTTGGCAGGGAGCTGCCAGTTCGATCTTTGTGCAGATCCTTTTGTTTGTTATTCACAAAGAATCTTCCCACCGGTTTCGTCTTTCCTGAACTTTTGTTTGGTTAACGCACGCCAGTTTGTTGAGCGCACAAGTCCTATTATACACCATGCGTGGTTACTGCATGGTGTGGGAATTTATATATATTGTTTCTGAAACTTATATTTTTTCTCTATCTGATTCAATTTGCAGGTCCGCACCGTGTCGAGGCACCAGCTGGAGCTTCTCCGGGAGGCCGTCCATGACGTAAGTTTTTTTTTATTTCCGTTTCCCCAAATCCTTTTTTCTGGACCTCCAATCATTTTTCTTGAAAGCGAAGTCTTATTCGTCCTGGTGCATTCAACTCTTGTCTTTCCGCACTTTAGGGTCTTTAGATCGTGTCAGATGGTAGACCATAACCGTGGACATCTAGAAATTCCACAGCGACATGAAAGCCGCCTTTAAGTTGGTTGATCTCCACCCAAGGACTAGAAATTTTTTTGGACTGATTTTCCTTCAACCCTACTTGCAGGACATGGAGAAAAACGCGAGGCCCCGTCAGGAGGTGAACAGCAGAGATATCAGCATGTTCCGGCCTTCTCAGCAAAATAGGCATTGATTATTAGCTAGGGTCGATTCTCCGCTTAATTAGTTTGCTGTTACAGCTATTATGTATGTACATGGTTGTACCAATTTTTGTACTAATTCTTTCTACCCATATTAGATGCCTTGCATCCAGTCACTGCATAATAAAGGAGCACGTCCAGTTCATGTCCATGCATGTGTGTTGATGTTGTGATCTACTCATAACTCATCCAGCTGCCACTGCCATTAAAAATGAAAGAGCCGGAATGTTGATTATGGTTGAGTACCGGGGCCCCAAATATATATAGGACCATCCAGCTGCTGCTAGCCATCTGGTGTTGTCTCCCCGAAGAATTATGCCAGGAATAGTTTAGCTCAAGAAATTAAGGCCAAGTTCGAATATTCGTGAATGTTACCAACAAGATTTTTATTCCTGAATCCATTTGGCTATTGTTTTTCCAAGTATCCGGTCAAAGTTGAGCGTGGCTCATAAAATAATAAAGATGGCTGTCTACCTCACTACGCTAGAGGACATCACTGGTACCATGATGATGCGAGATCAGACTTGTCCGCCATGTGCCATAGATGCCGGCATGAATTTATTCAACTTGGTCGAGAGTTCAATCTCGTGACAAAGAACATGAGCATCCAATGTAATTATTGCTGGCGCTTTTCAGAAGCAGCCGATCTGAAAACTGTATGTGAATACTGACCATATTGGAGAATAATGGGGGGCTGGGGGCTGGTGAGCGACCATGGGTTGGAAGTTTATGGTCATTGTGATTGAAAGGCCTGCCTAGGTAGGGTAATCATCAGTGACCTTGAATGGCTTTACTCAGGCAACACAACGTGCGTCAAATTACTCGTCAATGGAGGTTTAGGCGTCTATGATTGAAAAGTACAAAAGGTTAGGTGAAACCGGATGTATTCCCTACAAGAAAAGTGAGTTAAAATGAGTATAGTGTGTTGTCTGACTACTATGTGCTTGCCTTTGGCGTTGACTGCTAACAATTCTTGTTGGTTCAACCAGGCTTTTTCTTGTTTATATATGCACAAACAGTCATGTAAGGTGGACAATGCGGATTTTGATTTTTCTGCCAGACCATGCACCGAAGAGGATTGGGGGAAGACTACAATAGAAACTGGCCATAGGATAGAAGAATAGAAAAATGAAGTTAGAGCCGTTGGATCCTTAATGGATGCTTCAGATTTGAAATGTTAGGGCTGGTGAATTCTTTGTACTTTTGCGGAAAGCTCCCTGAGTAATTGCTATATACAATAAAGACCCTCCCACCAGCTCCCACGTGCCTGATCTGAAGCGCCCATTGGACATCCGATGCTCCAGATTCGTTTTTCTATTCTTCTATCCTATGGCCAGCTTCTATTGTAGTCTTCCCCAGAGGATTGTGATCAAAGGTATTGCCATGGCCGGCGCCGAGAGTCACGGGACTGACCACCACGAGAATTGAGGTCGCAGCCATGGCATGCAAGTCTTGTTGATCGAAAACTAAAGAAGTATCTCATGTGCTAAAACTGGAGACACATGCAGTCATACAAGACGATAAATACAATGTAGTGAGCTACCGGAGTGCATTCAAATCAACAATAGATGTAATTAAATTCAATGAAGTGAGCCACCGAACCACATTCACATCAACAATAGACGTGTACATCCATACACGCGGTAAATGTAATGATGCTGCCGGACAACCTTAACATCAACAATTTTTGGTTGATAAATTTAGTTGTAGTCCTATTCTCTCATGCCCAGTTCCTCTAGTGATGATAAACAGAAATCATCCATAAATTCAAGAATAAGAGACCGTGTATTATGTGAATGAGTTGCGCAGGGTTAAGAGGCATGCGGGATAATTCCCCTATAACAGGCTTTCTCCCCGCTTTATATAGATATAAAGGGCCAACCAAGTTCATATACCAATAAGTACATGTTCAAAACTAAGAAGCAAATAGTTTGCTAGGGCAACAACACAAACATGCCCAAAAGTGAAATAATAGGTGATACATGGGACCATGAGGACGAGGCACCAACTTCTAAGGGGGTGTTTTGTGATCTGGCGGTCAGCCATCTGAAGAAAATACATGACGCAAACTAGCAAGTCAATGCCCCACTACCTAAAGAACGGCCACCATTCATGCATAAAAGCCAAAACCTTAAGCACATGGTCGGTAGCATGTCACAACAAAACCTTCTCGATAACCATCTATTGCAAGTCATCCATAAGGTCTAGGCCATTGCAAAGAACTCCAACCAAAAGAGGTTTCTCCTCCTTCTAGTTTCAAAGAGTCCGCACAACCAGTAAGTCCCCTAGGTATGAGTCCTACCACTTAGGTCGTAGATCCATAGGAAGCAGGCAGCGGAACATGAGAAGAAGATGTGTGTCCCGGGCTCGGGCACCACACATAAGGGTGTTGGGGAACACAATATTACAAAAAAAAAATCCTACGATCACGCAAGATCTATCTAGGAGATGCATAGCAACGAGAGGTGGAGAGTATGTCTACGTACCCTCGTAGACCGAAAGCGAAAGCGTTGTGAAATGCGGTCGATGTAGTCGAACGTCTTCGCGATCCAACCGATCAAGCACCGAACGCACGGCACCTCCGCGATCTGCACACGTTCAGCTCGGTGACGTCCCTCATACTCTTGATCCAGTTGAGGCCGAGGAAGAGTTTCGTCAGCACGACGGCATGATGACGGTGATGATGAAGTTACTGGCGTAGGGCTTCGCCTAAGCACTACAACGATATGACCGAGGTGGAATTCTGTGGAGGGGGCACCGCACACGGCTAAACAATCAACTTGTGTGTTTATGGGGTGTGCCCCTTCCCCGTATATAAAGGGGGGAGGAGGAGAGGGCCGGCCCTCATAGGGCGCGCCCAAGGGGGGGAGTCCTACTCCCAGTAGGAGTAGGTTTCCCCCCTTCCTAGTTGGAGTAGGAGAAGAAGGAAAAGGGAGAGGGATACAAGGAAAGGGGGTCGGCCCCACCCCAATTCGGATTGGGCTTGGGGGGGGGGGTGCCCTCCACCTAGCCGCCTCCTCCTCTCTTGCACTAAGGCCCAATAAGGCCCATTGACTCCCCGGGGGGTTCCGGTAACCTCCCGATACTCTAGAAAATGCCCGAACTCATCTGGAACCATTCCGGTGTCCAAACATAGCCTTCCAATATATCGATCTTTATGTCTCGACTATTTCGAGACCCCTCGGCATGTATGTGATCACATCCGGGACTCCGAACTACCTTCGGTTCATCAAAACACATAAACTCATAATACCGATCGTCATCGAACGTTAAGCGTGCGGACCCTACGGGTTCGAGAACTATGTAGACATGACCGAGACTCATCTCCGGTCAATTAACAATAGTGGAACCTAGATGCTCATATTGGTTCCTACATATTCTACGAAGATCTTTATCGGTCAAACCGCATAACAATATACGTTGTTCCCTGTCTCATCGGTATGTTACTTGCCCGAGATTCGATCGTCGGTATCTCAATACCTAGTTCAATCTCGTTACCGGAAAGTCTCTTTACTCGTTCCGTAATGCAATATCCCGTAACTAACTCATTATTCACATTGCTTGCAAGGCTTATAGTGATGTGCATTACTGAGAGGGCCCAGAGATACCTCTCCGATACACGGAGTGACAAATCCTAATCTTGATCTATGCCAACTCAACAAACACCATCGGAGACACCTGTAGGGCATCTTTATAGTCACCCAGTTACGTTGTGACGTTTGATAGCACACTAAGTGTTCCTCCGGTATTCGGGAGTTGCATAATTTCATAGTCACAGGAACATGTATAAATTATGGAGAAAGCAATATAAACTAAACGATCATAGTGCTAAGCTAACGGATGGGTCAAGTCAATCACATCATTCTCTAATGATGTGATCCCGTTCATCAAATGACAACTCATGTCTACGGTTAGAAAACTTAACCATCCTTGATTGACGAGCTAGTCAAGTAGAGGCATACTAGTGACACTATGTTTGTCTATGTATTCACACATGTACTAAGTTTCTGGTAATACAATTCTAGCATGAATAATAAACATTTATCATGATGTAAGGAAATATAAATAACAACTTTATTATTGCCTCTAGGGCATATTTCCTTCAAAGGGGCAAATACCTTCACCTAGACCATGCCGCTTAGACACCTCAACGCTCGATGGAAAACGGCCACGAAGGAGCCGTCATTCGAAGATCTTGATTTTGGGTGGTAAAAGGGGCTTTCCACAAAGGGAAAATCCAAGCAAGGGTTGGAAATCAACATAAGAAACGGTAAGTCGACTCGGACAAGAAGAGCCCTGAAGCGGCAAGGTAACAAGACACTATGTCC